AAAAACCATGGGGCTTGTCCTGTCTCACTACCAATGTCATTAAATTTCTGTGGGCTGGAAGTTGAATGAAATCAATAGGGCATTCAGATGGACTTTTTAATGGACTATGAATGCTATTGACAACAAACTATTTCATAATGAAGAGGATCCTCCTTCCCCTCCAGTTTCAGCATTATACAGGAAGACTAGGTAACATGGCTTGTTTTAAAACACTGAACTATTATCTTGGAATATTTTATTATTTTGAATGGCTCAGCTTTCTTACATGTCACTGGAAACAATTGAACCAGAAATCTTTTGTCAGAAGGAAAGTTTGCAGACAGCAAGCTAAAATATTTGCTTGGTTGTCTTTGGCACTCCTAGTATTTAAACGTGGGGCATTCCAGGACTGTCGATACGTACAGGACTCTCACCAGGAGTTATAAGCAGAGATCAATAGTTCTTCCTACAGCAGGTCATCGGGCACATAACTTACTGAAATGGAAGGCTCAGTGCTTTTGACCTCCCTCCTGCCTCAACAAATAAATCTGGTGTAGGGCAAGCATATTGTTTGGGGTCCTCTGGAAGTCCCTCCATTAAGCAGAGCCCCTTGAGGAAAGAATTAATTTGTTTAACCGTGTTGGGCACTGCGTTTGCAGACGAAGCATGAGGGGGCCTCTGATAATAGCTGGTTGCATTCACAGAGGATTCGGGCTCTGCTCTGCTCTGCTCCCTGGGGTACGTGTCTGCTACCCTTGTGGGCAAAATAAGAAGGGGCTAAGTAGGTGTCCTAATACATAGTCTAAAATTCAAGAGATTTAACCTCCGATGGGGAACTTTCTCTCCTAAAGCGCACCTTCCTTCTGATGATCTTTTGGAGGGCCAGCAGCACAATGGCAAAGCAGACAAAGGTGCTGCAGATTTACATTGGGAATTCAGCGCCTCCCGCCTCCGCGGTCCCGCCACGGCTTAGGCCAAGGCCGCGCTTCTCCAGCTCTGCGCAGGTACGGGGGAACACAGGCCGCCCGCCCCGGCTGCCTTCTGCTGCATTCGGACACAAGGCCGCCGCTCCAGCGGGCCCGGTACCGGCGGCGCAGCGCGGCTCCCGCCCTGCCCGCCGAGCCGGCTCCATCCCGCCCGTCCCTTCCCGCCCGTCCCGCCGCGGGAGCGGAGCCGGGGCCGGGAGCGCTGCGGTCGCCAGGGGGCGCTGCGGGCCCGCGCACCCCCGCTCGGCCCCCTCAGGAAGCGGCCGGGAGCGGGCGGGAATGGGGAATGGCCGCCTCCGCTCCCCCCATCCCGCGTGGGCGTACGGGGGGACACGAGCACCTGGACACCTTAGTTCCCGATGAAGAAAAAGGTATTGAAGAAATAAAGCTTAGAAGGTTCTTGAGCTACAATTTGTATAAGATATTAAAAAAGACCTGTCCGGGGAAGACTTTCATTATTGATTTTGGCCCAAAATGAACTGCCATTCTTGGATTTTCTACAGTTCGAGACTGGCCATGGACTGCCCCCCCCCAAAAAAAATTCCCCTCAGACTTTTTTTCTCCTTCAGCTCAGAACTTTTATTTTTGTTCGCTTTCTAAACATGCTGATCTTCCCATTCTCCCCTCTTCTATTTCCCCAGATGACTTATTTCTTTATTTCTTTGTTTCCTGCTGTGCCTTTGTCAGTTTCTGAGGGAAGGGGGGTTGAAGAGGGAGGGGCCTTTTTTCCGGAGCTGGACACACAGTAGTTTTTTTGCTAGTTCAGTAATTAAAAGTTGAGAAAAATCCCTTCAGCCCACAGCATCTCCCAGTCCCCTGATTTAGCAGCCCCTGGGGGTCCTGGGTGCTTTCTGTGGCAGATACGTCTGGGTACATTTATAATATTCCTGTATTCTTTGATTTCTTAATATGAAATAAACTGAATCAACCATTTAGGTTTATCTTTCTGTGCTTAAAAAATAATGAAATATGACAGCTTATGGTTTTTCTCCTCTGGATGGCAGTAACTCCTGCTTAAACATTCGTGACCTGTGACTGCAATATCCTGCAGCAAGGGATTTCCTTTTGTTTATCAGTGTGCTATCCAAAAGAAACATTTAATTTCATTCTGTGTTTTTTTCAAATCTAAATTTGAAAGCTAAGTAAGCTTTCAAAGAAAGAATCTGTTTAATGTAAAGATGTAATTGCACAGGTCCAGAACCACGTACAGAATCAGAACCAGTGAGTAACACTTCTTCAGTAACAAAGCTGGAAAACTTGCATGTAGGACTTGTGTCTTCCCCCCAGCCAGGACTCACTATTGCCTTGTGTTACTGCTGGTGCAAATGAGGCAGTTCAGAGCAGCAGCTTTCAAAGATCAGTGCCTGTATTTATACAAGTGAATCTGCACTTCCTGCTGATTCTGGACACCTGAGGTCCTTCAGAGCCAGAGTGAGCAGCCCAATTTCTGGGGTGCTGTAAGGGCAGTGCTCCCCAGCTCTTGGCTCAGCAGCAGCAGATGGAACTTCTGTTTCCATATATATATATATATATTTTTTTTTTTTTTTTTTCCCTATCAGACAGCACCTTACTGATTTTAGTTGTGCATTCAGTTTCTGGTCTGTGGACTGAGATGGCCAATGGGCCTCTGGTTTTAGTGAGTGTTTTTCTACCAGGTGATTAGTGCTATCAAGTCCTTTGAAAACCTTATCTGTTTTCATATGGAGAAACACCCCTTGACTCCTAGAATTAAGAAAAACATTTCTGCCCACATATTTTTAGTAGAAAGAACCAAATTTGGCATGTTTACATTAATATTTCCAAAATCAAGACATTGTTTATATTTTCCCTTCAAATTACTAATGCTCAGGAAAACTAACTTACCTTAGACACCCCCATTTTTACAACTCTTGTCCCAATCTTCAATAGCCCTGTAAGCTGCTGCCCATTTGCCTGTCCTGCCTACATCTGAATGAGGGAAGCAAAACAGTTCTGTGGTACACGAACCAATCCCATAAGAGTTCCTACCCAAGCACTGGAAGCCCTCTGTGATGACAGGAACACGAGCACTGGAAATGAAGTGCTTCAGGAAGACATCTTGTCTTCCAAGTTTCTTTAACACACAGGGGAACAAACTTTGTTACTGTCCTTCTGGAAAAAGAGTGGCGCCTACCTGGTGACATGAATCCAGCTCCACAGTGCAGAGGGAAATGGAGTCACAGACACCATGTTTGGGCAGCTTTTTTCAGGTAATTTTCTTGAGAAGTGTAGCAGAGATGCTCATGAAGCTTTCAAGCTTGAAGGTATCAGTAGGAGATTAACTTCAAATTACTCCAAGCTCTTACACCTGGTTCTTTTTTTGGAATGTAAGGAAACCTGAAAAATAACAAAGTGGGTGCAGCTAGAAAGGTGATTTTACGGGTTTGCTGCAAAGCTGAATTTTCAGCCTTTCAAAGGATGAGCAAAAATAGATAAATTGTGTTACTCTGGTGTTACTGCAGGTCCACACCTTTGAGATCCCAGATTTGCTGAAAATTTTTCTCTGAAGACTTCATTAAGTTCTGGCCTTGACACCAATTTGTCAGCAAAAGATAAAGCATGTTGAGAAGCCATCCCAAGAGGTTCCTCCTTAGCACATTTGTGAAGGCCTGATGCTGCTCATACTGACTTCTGAGCTCAGGGGTAAAAGAAATAGCAAAAAGAGGGACAGCTCTCACCCATGGAACAAGGAGAGGGGAAGTGAGTGACTGGTGCCATGTTTTCTGTCCTGTGAAACCCTGCTCTCTCCCACTGCAGTGCCTGAGTTTGCCTCTGTTCACCATGATAGTAGGTAAAGGAAGGACAGGCATTGTAAAAAAAATTAAAATGAATTAAATAGTCAGCTGCAGATTCATTTTCACTGTATAATTTTCTAAGTATAAGCTTTGTCCAGGGTGTGGGAGGCATGCTTCTGCCGTGCAACAATGACCTACCAAACACCTCTCTCAGCCTTGTGAGCAATTTGAGCAGCTTTCTGCATGCTCTCTTTTTGAAAAGGATGTAATTCATAACCCCCCCTTTCCCTTAGCTCCAAAAAATATGTGTGCGTTTCCTAGATGGTGATGTGTACACATGGCATAGTAGAAATACAGACAAAACACATGCAGCACTGCATATGTTTGAAAAACCTGTATTCTTCATTTCCCTGATGTATCAAAATGGAGTCTGATGGAAAACCAAGATGCTTTCCTGTGTGGTGCTGGAGGCCACTGTGACAGCTGAGGTCAGGAGAGGAGAAGGCATGCAAGAACATTTCTGGCTGAGTTCCAGAATACAGAGATTTCAAGTTTCTTGTCAGGACAGAAGAGCACTGTGCACTTGTATTTCTAGCTGTTGGCACTATACCCAGCTAGTCAGAAGGATTGGTTATAGCTAGAGCTCAGTTTGAAAGGAGATTTCAAACAGATTAAAAGTTCCTATTCATTACAAGCTTCTAAATTAAGTGAAACTCACTGAAAAATAGGTTTCTTTCTGAATCCTGAATAATTCTTTACATTGTGATCAGGGAATGAGGTTATTTTGGACTCTCAGTTTAGAAACACAGGTATGGGATTTATGCTAGCACTCATAATGCCCAGAATTACAGAACTGTCAACAGTTTGTCAAGAAAAACACTCACTCTGGACTTTTTAAAAAGAAAAACAATTTAAAATCTGTTTGGGACAGCATCCCCGTCTCTCAGACTTGAAACATCTTGCGACTGTAGGAGCACAAATGTAAATGCAAGATGACCTGCACTGCGCAAGGCATGTGAAGTTGTTCTGAAATGCCTCCTTCTATTTCCCCAAAGCAATTTGCACGTGGAACCTTTCAGCAGGGCTTTCTTGCTTTCTCATGCAAATGCAGGAGCAGGAGTGCACTGTACACACAGCCCTGGCAATGAGGGCAGGGCTGCCCTTGCAGGTCCCTTCTAGAACTTGCTTTCTGTACGTGCTGCATGAGCTCCTGCTGTGGAACATGAACGGACAGCACAAATAAACTCCAGCATAGTTACCACTACTTTCAGGTTTGATTTACCTGAGCAAGGTCTCCTTGGCTTGTCTTTCCATATAGCATCACCTCCTGCTTCGACCTGCGGGAAACCAAAGGGAGAAAGTTTTCTGTGTGGGTTATACACTTTTTTCCAAAAGAACCTTTGTATAAAACCCCCTATGCTTTCTGTGTTGCTGGAGTTGCCTGAGGCAGCTCTGTCATTGTTGATAATACATTAAGCACAATGCATCAGCATGCCAGACAAAAAAAGATTTCCCAGGATCAGCTATGCCCTTTGTAGAGCACTAAGCAAGAATGACTAAGGTATAAAAGGGCATACTGTGGTGAAGCTTTTATGTGAGTGGGGACTGCAGGTGCAGAGAAGACATTAATGCCTTCTGCAAGCCAAGAAGAAATTAGCAAGAAGTATAAATGGGAAATCAAAAACAAGTAGAACAGTCATACATCCAAAAAATCACCTGGACAACAGAGCTGAGTGATCCAGAAGCAAGAATCCTATTTTCATGTGATGGCACAACAGGCTGCAGAGATGGGGTTAGTTTGGCATCCATGGGCTCCTTCCTGCTGACACTGTTGAATCAGAAGAGTTTATTGTGGAACAATCTGAGCAATATCTTGAATCTTCAACCCCAGTTTTGCATAATTAAACCACAGTGGTTCAGTGATCAGGACTGTAAGTGAAAAGGAAGGATAGAGTCAGTTTACAAGAAGCAGATGTCCTGTGACAGATGACCAAGTTATCTTTAAGCTGATACATAAACTGGTTCCTTTGAAAATCAGCAGAATGCAATACCCAGCTGCTATAGCCTCCCTGAGTGTAATGTGTGCATCTGCACTTTCTACTTGATTTCCTCTGCCCTGTCCCCTGCTGTACTCTGTGAACCTTCCTAAGGTTACAAAGGACCTTCCAAGTTACAAAATTCTCCCTGATAAAATTGATACCATAGTGGTACTTTTTGATGAAGCTATTAGTAAACCCAAATATTCCACAGTTCTTGTGTGTTCCAGCCAACCCTTCACAACTGAGACTGAGACAGATGTATTTGATAAAACAAAAAACCAAACAACTCCCCCTTCCCTGCCCCCTCCCCCCCCCTCAAAAAAAAATAAAAGTCAGGCCTATAATTATTCTACTAGCAGCAGACTGGTGATTCAGCAGACCAAAGACATGAGGATACAAAACTTTGTGTGGGCAAATATGCCAGGAGTCTTTGACATTATAAACCTTGCAATGCCAGTTGTTAAAATCTATTACACAGTCGATTTTGGAAGGCTGACTAGAATGCCTTTGTAGAACTTCTTGCACATGGGAAAGCTTCACTTATTTGAGGGTAATCATCACATCACCTTCTCCTTTTCACATTGTTTATGTTTTTACAAAACAGCTTATCCCAGTATCATTCCAGTCAAGTTTTAAAAGCATGTAATTGCTCCTATCTCCACTACAGCAGTATCCCCTCAATGATCCCTCCACCTCAGAGGGGTGCATGTAACAGGGTTTTTCGAGTTGCACCCCAGTGGCCAAGGCTTTGAAAAACCATTTGAAAGGCCAGAAAGTGCCAAGGTATACAGAGACTGTCAAGGCTGGCTAAGGGGAGTGCCACCCTTTTGCTTCAGTAATCACTCAGTTTAAGGGTGTAGGGGCTGCTAGGGCAACCCAGGGCCATCCATCAAATCCTTCCTGAAAGGTATCTGAGAGCTAATCTGCATTTTACACAGCAGCTGCAAAAAGGAGCAGTGATGCTGTATCTAGCAAACACTTTTCTTAGATTTTTCTCCAAGATTAAAGGCTTTCCTTTGATTATCCTTCTTGGAAATACAAAGAAAAAAAAGTAATTTTTGTTAAAGAAACACTCCTTTTTGATTGATGGAAGCTGTTTGCTGCATAAGGAATTGAAGGAAATTACATTATTTGCTTAATAATTATTAACTTGGGAGTGTTTATAAAAAATAAGGGATTGCATTTGATTTCATATTCTTATAGCATTAATCAAAATTATCTAGTGGCTAAATAAAAATCATCCTCCTCCTCCCTGAATGTGGTCCCCTACAGAAAGCTTGGGAAGAGAAAATTGCAGTTGAACATTATGCCAAAGACTTGTCCCCAGTTCAGTTCTGATGGCCTTTTTTCCTCTGTTTCTGCCAGAGTGAGATGGTTCACTGCAGGGAGCACCTGAGATGCCTTCAAAGGAGTTGCAGGGCTGGAGAAGAGCAGCTCAGAGCTCTCTGCCTTGCTCCCATCACCCCAACAGCCACAGAGGGAAAACACTCCTGACACGGCGTTTCCTTTGCTGCGTGCTCGGCCTCTGTGTGATGGGCAGGAATAGCAGGAGGTGACTGGTGATTTCAAGCTTTAATACCCAGCTCTGTGGGGCCAGCTTCCAACAGGTGAGTGAAATGAAGGAAGAATGGGGCTTTTTTCATATTGATAAATCCAGCTGAATTGTGAGCATTCCTGAAAGTGTGCAAGGCTCTGATAAGAGCTTCATCAAGCATGTATTACATCAACTGGCTGCCACCCTTGCCCCCTGATCAGCTGCTTTTCCTAGCAACAGGACCCAGACAATAAGCTCACAGCTATTGAGGGAGCATTTCACTGTCAGGGGAGGTGCTGTTTCAGTAATTCTGATTGAGACCAGGTGTAAAGAAGGACAACCACACCCAGGTTAATACACACAAAGATCTTGGGAGAACTGAGGATCTTTTAAAGATCCCCTTCAGCTCAAACTTCAGTTCTGCCCATCTGAGAGCCCCTCCATCTTCATAAGCAGCTCATTGGGGAGTCAAGAGAAATAACTGTTAATAATTAAACACCAACTTGTGAGAAATGTAATTTCCAGATGTGTTTTTAATACAACATGTAATTAACAACATTACCAAGGTTTATTAGGTTCTATAAGGACTTTGCAGAAAAGCTTTAGTGGGAATGTAGAGGACAGAACTCTTGATCTAGAAAAGAAAAAAAAGAAGCCCATGAATATAATTTCTTTTGTTGCAATGAGACTGAGTTTGCAATTTCTGGGATTAAACTGGAACAGACTTTGAGACTCTGTCTCTCAAAGATCTAAGAATTCTGAGAGACTTCAAGCATTCAGATTTTCATCACAGGCAATATTAAAATCCTGCCTAAGAATATTCTTTGTCTTGTACTCAAATGAATAAGTACTAAGTCCACTTAGAAAATACAATGTCTTGATTTAAAGGGAATTAATTTTAACCATCAAAAGTGGTAGAAGAATATGTCTCACATTGAAAATAAAAGCCAGTCTGACCATGGAACAGTAACATATGCTGCTGTCCATATCTGTGCGCCTCCTCTGAAAGAGGTATGATGGTTTTTCCTGAAGCTATCCTGGGATAATTGTGTCTTTGTCCTTTATAAATTCACATCTATTTTTATAAGCAAAGGAAGGGTCCCAGTGGTGCCATTAGAAATAATCCTCTAAGAGATTTCTAAAGATATGTCTTGTTTAACTTCAACAGAGAGTTAACTAAACACTCTACAGAAATTTTCTTTTTCCTCCTAACCAACAATAGATCCCTGTAAGTGTCAAAGTCAGTCATACACAATCAAATGTGCTGGCATAAAAGTACTCATGCTCTCACTCCTATAAAAAGTAAATAAATGGTGCCAATAAAGACATGCCAACATGTGAGAATAAACCTTTTGTTTTAAAGCACATGTAACCAAAGAATGTAGTACAAGCTTTTAAATTCATTAGACTCAGGTCTTGGCTGTTTGGGAGTCTCTCTCAGTGAGTGGATCACCAGAAGACTATTTGGTGAGTTTTCATGCACAGATACCACAAAATAGCAAAAAAGCTTCATTTCCTTGGCATGCATTCTTATTGAGTTATCACAAGAAGAGACTAGAAGTAAATTTGTCTTGTTTCTCATTTCCTTGCAACACTACCCACTGCAGCTAGCACCAGGGAAGATTTGCTTTTCCAAGTTCAAATGCACAGTATCAGGATCTAATGGAATTATGCTTGCCAGGAATGAACTTATACATCCCATGTAATAAAAATTACTTGTATCAAGGTATCAGAAAAAGGCTGCACACCATGCAATACCTGGATGGACTTGCCCAATCATCCAAACGAGGATTATTAATAGAAAAAAGGTGAATGTAGTGCTTTTAGTAGAGACTTCATTACCTCACAAACTAAGCAACAGTTGCTTCAGAAAATCAAACAAGCCCCATATCTGATTCCTCCAATTTTTTGCCATCTGCATCACTTTAAAATAGTCACATAGAAATGACATATTTGAAAAGTTGTGGTATTTTTTTAACAGAAAAATTTAATTCTCATTCGGTGTTCTGTGAACAAAAACTTCAACACTTCTAAGAAATTAAAAAAGAAAGTGGTGAGCACATAAGGTTCTTGCTACATCTGTTAGGAAGCAGAAAAATCACAGAACCCCAGAAATGGGGGGAGTGGAACAAGAAAAGTGGATAAAAGATCTGTATCCCAAGGACAGGTATATGATGGCTACGAGTCACAAGAACTCCCAAAAAACCTCAGAGTGCTTTATAATGACATAATAAGTCAAGGCTGGGCTGTACCTTTCTAGTAAAGTATTTCAGAAAGCTCCACTGAACTTTTTCCTCCTGAAATACTTTTTTTTCAGGGCCCCTAGGCAAAGAGAATGTTCTAAGCTAATATATTTCTCTGCCACTAAGGGTGTAAGACATGTTGTTCAGCCTACAGTGCCTTAAGAGTATCTTGTATCCAGCTGATATAAAGCAACTCTTATTTCTCAGAGGACAGAACCCCATGGCTCAGTTGTGAGAGTTGAGATTAAAAGATTTACAGTACATAAAATCATTATAATACTGTCTTACCTGGAGTGTGTGTCTTCCTCCACGGCTTCAGTGATAGGATTTCTGTCTCTGGTATTAATTTCTACTGGTTGGAGCCATGAACATTTCTTGTTGAGCTATTTGGCAAAGACAGATCTTAGATATTTTAGAAAACAGTAAAATGTGGTTGCTTCATAAGGCATATGCTGATTTATTAATCTAAATTTTGAAGGATGTCTGTGTCTAATAGTCTCTTATTTTAACATGTGGAGCTATAAAATAATATACTGGGGCTCTGGAGACTTTATTTTCTACCTGGGTATTTGCAGTGCTCAGATCTGACCACCATGTATTGTTATATGTTTATCCACCTTGTGAACTTCCCCAAAATAATCTAACCCAGTTGGCTTTGACCTTTTTCAATTTGCAAACCTCTCAATGTTTCCTAGTAAGATTGTGAACCCTCTCTGCACCCTGAATTTGAGGTAATAGCATTGATTCCCTTTGTTACTTTGGAGGGATTACCTGGAAATGGTCCCTTTGCAGTGGTTACAGGCCAGAGGTTCAAAACTATGTGTAATTTTCTTGCCAAAGTCACAACTAGAGTAACTTGGCATAATTCTGTTGATTTCAAAGGAAAAATCTTTTGATAGCAGCAGTTAGAATAATGGCTAGTTTACTGTACATTAGCTGAGGAACTTCCCCTGCATTTAGTCCTTCTCTTAGATTTCACTGTGACTGAGCTCCACTTCAATGTAATTGTATCTCCTTTGTACTCCTTACTTACTACTCAGACTAGAACACATTGAAGAGCCCAAGAGGAATCTTAAAAAAAATTTACATAGGAAATCTCATCAGAAAATTCCTACAATTTTATTTTATGCTTAGTCTCAGATGTATCCTAGATATCTAGTTTTTAAAGGTGGCTCTTCAGTCAGGTATTATCTTTCACAGTCTAACACATGCACAACTGATCGAAATTGCACAGTTAGTAACATAAACTTTTCTTGACTTCTCTGATCAAGTAGCTCTACTGTTAAAGTTTTGAGTGGGGTATTTTTGAATAGAGTTATGCTGATTTATACCAGTTGATCATATGCCCAATTTTCTGAATATGCTTCAGGCCCTTCAGGAGTGAGTGCAAAGGAAATAATGTTCCTGTTTCTTATGAAAAAGAAAAGCACAAATAGTTTGGTAGATATTAAGAAAAGTAACAATTAGGTCTGAAATGTTTATAACTAGATATCTTTTCCGAAGATAGTTAGAAGTATTTACATTTAAAAGACAAGAAATTCTCTGAAAAAATTAGAGAAAAATGGAAAATTGTCTTTCTTGCTGTTGCTGTGTAGCTCACTTTGTAGCTCCATCACATGACAACGAATAAGTAAAGAAAACTATTATTATGCAAACTGCTCCAGGACAAAAGGGTATTACATATCTCATACAAAAGGGCGTTTCTTTAAAAAGCACAGCACATTCAGTGTTTAGGGTTTGCAGTTGAAATTCATGGCCTTGCTTGCCAATATTATCATGCAGCTGGGTATTACGCTATTGCTTTACTCTGAGGGGAGAAAAAAATCACAATAAACATTTTCAAATGGGCACCTGTTAAACATTTGTATTCTCTTATGTGACAATATCAGTTTTAATGATTTTTAGCGTTTCTTCTCTAGTGAAAAGGTCACCATAAAGACTACCACAGAGACTATGATTGCAAACAGAAAATGTCAAAAAGGTGCTTCTTTTGAGTTAAAAAAATTATCACTGGAAAAGAGTAGTAGGCATTATTTTAATGTTGAGAACTGATGGGATTAATAATAGTTTTTCTCTTATTTAACAGCTATGAGATAGAAGTCCATCTTTCTGTAGAGAAGGGTGCTGACAGAATCTCTTGTATTTGTTCTATGAAACAAGAGTTTATTTTTAAAATTTTAATTCAAATTCATTTATCATCTTTCCAGAAAGTATCTCATGTTTAAGTAAATACAAATCAGCTGACCCAAAACGTTCCTGATGAATATAAGATTAAATGTAGTATCAGAAATCTTCATCTCCTCATGACATGATTAGTCAAGCACTAATTTAGATGAGTAAATGACATCTGTTTTTACAGGGTTGGGTGTTTCCTGCACCTTCTATATGCAACATTAGTCATATGATTATTGTGAACTAGCTTATTAAGCATCAAAATTTTTTCCTAAAACTCTTCTAAAGAAAAATAATAGCAAGTCAGAAAGTACAAGTCAAACAGTTGTAGAGGAACATCTTAAACTGTTTTTCATTTGCATATGTCATATTTTTTCTCTGGCTCTTAGATACATCCATCTCCGGGTGTGTTTTCAAGTTCTTATTTCTGATTTTGTTTTCTGTTTTTCCCTGAGTTGCCTGAGCATTGTCATGATAAACTGCTAAAAGATATGTACTTTCAGTGATGTTATGTACTAAAATACAAAGGAATGGCACAAAATGAACAGTTTTGTGGTGTAGAAAAAAAAAGAAGCTATGAAATTGTTGCTTGGCAGGAGTTAGTACAGAAGCCACTCTGAGACACTGAGCACACTATGGCATCCAAATACTAAATTCATACTAGCCCTGGGTGTGCAACAGAGTTAGCAAAACAAGAGAGGTCTTTGAAAAGCTCTATAGCAGTCAAAATACAATTTGAACATACCTTCATTTCTCTTTCATTAATCAAAAGTATGATCAGATCAACAGGTGCCACAAAATACTTGCCCCAATCTCATTTGCTTATAAATAACCATTCTTCGGGGTGCTTACAGTCTTATCCCAAATATTTAGTTACTTTGTCTTTTTAGGTAGCAGGTATGTTAGGAAAAGTAGTGGTGACAGAAATCTAATCCCAAATTAACACCAAAGGGTGTAGTTAGGTGTGTGCCATAGCACTGAGATAGATGCTATTTGCCATTTTGTTCCTAATCTGTGTATAAAGAACCAGTTATTGAAATTTACTACACATGATTAAGCATTTTGATATTCTCTCTTCTGGTTACTAAAAATACAGTTCCAAACTTATGTGTCAAACAGACATCAAGAATAGATTTGTGTATTTTGCAGTCATCAGTGTGCATGGTACTTATGCCCTCTACATCACTGCAACCTGCTAAACTGAGCTTCCAGCTTTCAGGAGCTAGAGGGGATCAGCAATACAGACCTGTACTTCTCAGAACACTCTGTTCAGCACCAGAGCAAAATGCCATAGCCCTTTTAAAAGAGTCAAACGGGTCATCCCTGTTTTGTCAAAGGGAAGATTTGGTCCCAGATGCTTGAAGAAATTCAAGGTGCAAGGCAGATCTTTGCAGTGCCATAGCTGCTGTACCACCATGTGGAAAGTCTGCACTGCTCCAATGATTCTTATGACTGAAAACTTAACTTTGCTTGTAAGACTGCTAGAAGATGAGCCATCCTGACAGTTTTGTTTATTGGCTTTAGTGGAATGTAAAAACTACATATCTCTCCATAATGGCGGAGACTCCTCCTGGGGAAATACAGGTTTGCCAAGATTTGTGTTGCTTTCACTGTGCCATTCATAGGATTAGGAGAAGAGGAATTTTGTCCAAGAGGGGAACTGGTTTGGAAGCTATGTTTTCATTCAGAGGGGAGTTCTGCTGACACACTGAAATCTCTTTTCTTTCTCTGAACAGAAAGTCTGAAACTTCAAAATTTAAAATAACAAAAGTATCCTAAACATTTGAGTAAAAGTAAGCAAAAGGAGTCATTTGATTGTTCAAATGATAAAACACTTTTGTGAACAGTGAAGCTGTCTAATCTGTGGTGCCCTGATACAATTTGTAGCTGTAACAGTCTTACAAAATTAACTTAAAGCAGTAAGATGGGAAAGTCAGGCTTGACTTTTTAGTGGTGGCACTCAGACAAGTGATAACACTGACCACTTTAAACAAGTGGCACTTTCAGCAGCAAAGAAAATGTCTACAGGAGCAGAATCACCTATCTTCACTTCATGAGTTACTGAGACATCTCCAAAATATTTACCAATCACTTTCAGGATTAATATCTTGGAGGTGATACAACATCTTCCTCCTCATGCTCAATAGTCACAGTTCACTTTACTTGATTATTGTCCCATCTACATGTATGAAGGAGGAGGAACAGATCTGCTGGGCTTCCTCTGCCCTGTGCACCACGTTGTGTGGGACAAGCTATGGAACATGTGACATTGGGAATGCTGTGTAGAACATCCCATGAGACTGGCTGGATAGTGCCCCTATACAACCTTGTATAAATACTAGTTTGTTCACGCTTTCATTAAGTAGGATTTGGTTTTTTCTACATAGAAACATTTCAGTAGTATTTTTTTTTTTAATTCTTGGCTTTTCTGGAATAATCAGAACAACAATACAAGATTAAGAGAATGCATTAAATGAGACATAGTAATTGCTGGCTGTGATTAATTAGTGATTGTAAGCCCACCCACATACATAGCTTCAATTGCTAGTAATTTACTTGTATGAATTCAATAGAAGCAGACAAATTTCAAAATACCTCAATCACTATAATTTTAATTGACAATTTGTCTGTTGTAACTGCTCCAAAAAACTTAACATTTCTTAAATTCATAACAGACAAAGTAGGATCCTGTTACCTAGATTGATAAGGAGCCTGAAGCCTAACCAAAGACCTTTAGTCAACACTCAAAATAGCCTTCCTTGCAACGTTTTGCTTTCGGCCTCCCAAAATAATTTCTCTAATTTACTTGTCCATAGCAAAGGAGAGGATTTATTGCTTTGTTTTCTAGCGTTCTTCAGTTCCAATGACAGGAAGCCATTCAAGGCCTATGTCAGAGTCTTGACCATTTGGGGAACTGTAATGTGATGACTTCCTAGGGAATTCAGTCACATGGGCTTAATGGCATTTGGGGTTGTGGCTATCCCTGGTAGTTACTCAGGAGTGAGCTTCTCACGCTACACTGGAAGACTTCTGCCTAATGCATCCTCATGCTCTTGACGCTCCCCTCAGATCTGTCAGACATATTTTTGCTTCAAAATACAATTAAAAAAATTCTTCAAATCTTCTAGGTCATGTTATTAAAAATTCTTGCGTATTGTCTGTTAATTGTCCTAGTTCTGCTAAAAGGTGAGGGTCAATTCTTACAAAACAGTATTTGCAATTACAGTATCACAATTTAACACTGACCACAAGTATTAAACCAGGGCACACGAGCGAACATAGTTTATCCTTTGCTTAAACCATCAGTGTGGCTTTTGAACATGGTTTTAAAATAGCATTATCTAAAAAACCCCAATGTTATTAATGTCTTCTTACAAGACCTTTAGAGGTTCTCCCTTTTCCTGTTCATAAATCCTAATCTTTGCATTAAATTTTTTCTCAGACAGGAAACAGTAACAATTGATTTACATGGACAAAATCAGCTTTTCTCAGTTTTCAGTCCAGCTTCCTCTGAGATCTCATTGACCTCTAAAGTTCAACTTCTTCCAAGAAAGTTTTCTTTGGGATTAATAGCCTTCAGCATCAAATCATTGAGTGCCATAGACATAGCAGTGCTATAAGTAAAGCTTCAGCCTTTCCACATAAACTCTTATTTTCAGAAGTTCATAGTTTGGCTAAAAAAATAAAGTTTTATGCTGAAACTTAGTTTAAAAAGCTCAGTCTGGAAGTGATTTCAGTTTCTGAGAAATCTGCACAACTTTGTGGTTGTTTTCAGATTAAAATTCTGACCAAGACTATGACTTGCTGTCTACATCCCTTTGGTGCCTGACTTTTTAAAAGTACAGATCCACTCCTGAAAAATTATAGAAAGACAAGCTAAAAAGGTGTTTTAAAAATGGTTATCCCATATGTTAAAGATTTTCAAATTGGATCTAGTCCCTGCTTCTCTGGAAGACAGTCTAATCACTTGAGCACCACAGTATTTTTCAGAGGATTTCAGCAGGCTGAGATGTGAGCCCAACTGCTCTGCAGTGATGGAGGGCTCTCAAGGTTTCTCTGAGTGCCTGCATGCAGAGTAATGGAGGAGCCTGCTGGTCCTGCTGCAGTTAGAAATACTGATGGATTGGGGGATGAAAGCCTTGTAGGAAGGAGGCTCAAGAAAATCTGAATTGGCAAGTTTGGGGAAACTGGTGCCTCCTGCTTCTTCAGGAGCCATGGGAGTGCTCTGGTGGCTGGGGCTGAGTGCCAGGAGGGACAGGTGAGGGAGAGAAGGAATCAGGCAGCTCTCCAGCATCCTGAAACAAAATCCTCACCATAATTAGAGATGAAACCAACAGAACTTACTTACATGCTGGTCTGCACAATTGCCTTCAGAAGGGATTTGGAGGCACCATCTGCAGGGAAGGATGACAGAGAGATGCCATGAAATTTCGTTTCCTTTGTAGGTAATTCCTGTAAGGGATGACTTGGTCTTGAGTCAGTGCTGCTGGAGATGGGAACACAAACACAACACACCATGCAAATATGTTCAAGGCCGCAGGCTGCAAATGTAATTGCTTCAAAGCAAAATCTTTTCATCTGAGATGATGACCCAGTGAAATACACTGCTTCTTGTGACCACTCATTCTTTCCACAACAGAAATTTGAACAAGCCAGAGGCAGTATTCTGCCCCCAACTTCCCCCAAACTGGTCACCAAAACTAAAAATATCCCATCAGTCTTTCCACATAAGTACAGCCCAATTCCTTATAACTGTGTCCAGCAGCAGGAAGACTATTTCATTTAATCAATATAAATAGTATTGTAAACACTTGTCATGTGAAGGAAAAGGCCAAGGCACCCTCTAGATTATCCCCTTGTTTCAGACATTGCTCCTACAATCCAGACAGGTCACCCATTCATCCCGTTTTCAAATGGAAAGATATTTCTGCCCAACAACAGCAAGGTAACATCCTCTGAAAAATGAGGCACCAGTAACCATACAGAATTGACAGTGCAGCATCTGAGTAGGAAATACCAACCTTCAGATCTTTGGGAGTGCTCCATTTGAAGCTAATCCAGAAATCTTTTTCTTTGGCAACAGCTCATTATAACTAGGCAAATTCAGTCCAAACTCTGAAACTTCTTTTGAAGGCATAATGGCAGGGGAACCTCACAGACAGGATTAGAAGGAAGATAAGGAGGTGGCTTTACAGATGTCTGAAGGAGCACTTTCCAAATGTAAGGAATGCATGGGATAAAACTTCACACTGAGTGACTGAAAATCTAAGAAGTCAATGAAGGAGGCTGGCATCATAGGCTAATCAGTGAAAGAAGTGATTTCTTGATCCTGCGTGAGAGATGATAGGTAGGATGAGGTACAGGCTTTGAAGGTGAAGACAAGCTGCTTATATCTGATAGAAAAAGGGTGTTACATTTGACAGCCAAAGTGATGAGCTAGGCAAATGATCTCTGCAGTGCTACAATGTACAGAACCATGCTACAAAATTGTATTTTTCAAAAGCAGAGAAATGGCTTTTGAAATCCTCATAAGAGCTTGGCAATTACACACATATATATTAATTCTTACACAGTAATAATCTCTAAGTTCTAGAACTCACTTCCATAAGACAATTATTTTTAATGGTTGTTTTAAACGTAAACTAAGCATGTTGCATGGGAAGGTGGGAATTTTATTGGATATTTCTAATAACATTGTTTTGTGCCAGCATTTTCATTATAGCATTCCTTTAAATTTTCTATTTTATAAGAGAAAAAAATGACTTGCTAACAAATCCTTTTTTACATACAACTCTTTTTGATTTTGACTAAATCTTTTCATTTAAACATAGCACCTGAGGTCATTCAATGCTCATATCCCTGCCAATTACATAATGTCTTAGCTGGTGGTCTCAGTTAATTCCTCTCTGGGGTTTGGTGGCTGAGGAGAGGTTGCCCATTACAACTTGGAGATGACTCTGGAAACTCAGTATGCCAGACAACACAGACATCAAGTTGCTAAATGCACCAAACCTCTGAGACATATAGATTTAACAGGACTTCTCCACTTTGTTTGGCAGTAGTACATTAGAGTGGCTCTTTCCATAATACATAATAAATTAATTTTATTCCCTGTTGTAGCATATCCTTCATTTCCCCAATGCAGAGACTGGTGCATACACATTTTTCCAGGGCAAGGCTTTTGCTATTAATAGACAACTTGGCTCCACACACTGAGATGAACGAACAAGGTTTGGAGTGCCTAATTTAAGGGACCATATGTCATAAGCTATAGTATCCTGTTAGATTGGAATAAAACAAAGAGTGAAAAAAAAAATAGCTTCCTACCATTAGCTGGCCTCAGACTGAAATTTTTGAAAATGTTTATTTAAGTGGGCTTAGAACTATTTACTTATTCTGTGCATCATATGAAGTTATGCATATTTCTTCATGGGGATGCTGCCTCAGAAAAAGAACTTCTGAGCATTACCACAAGACAAAAATAACACAGTGATCTTGATTTTTTTTTCCTGGAACTGCCTTCAAAGTGTGGCCAGCTTCAAATTTTTCTGCTTTGACTTTCCAGCTTGTAAAAACTGGAATACAGTTGTTTACTGTTTATTTAGTGTCCTGTGATTGTAAGATATTGCAATTTTTCCTCTGCTAATGTAAAATAGACTGGTGGGTGAATGTCCTTTTTTTTAAGCAAAATATATTAATTACTATTATTGTTTAACCAGCCCATCTCAACTGCACAGTTCAAAGAAATGTGCTCTTTCAGACTCTTAGGGTTGTTATCTAATCAGCATTCCTCACAAATATTTGAATGATTAGAGCTAGCAATCATATTTTCCTGGCAAGTTGTTCACTTTTGGGTGCAAACAGACTCAGAACTAGAAAATGTATAAATCAGCATTTTCATTTACTTCCTCCAGCTCATCCCATACATTCCTACTGGGTTTTTTCCTTCTCTGCTTAGTCTTTCTCTATATATCTCTTGAAAAGTAACATTTCCAGATCATTTCATTCAAGTAAGGATAGGGTGAGACTGTGACCAGCTGACAGGCATACCTGTTGCACTTCTATTTTTAGGATGTGCCATTCCATACTTCCAGTCAAGTTCCAACTTCCATTCCCCTTATGATCCAAATTGGCAGTCACAGGTTTGTGTTGGTATGAAAAACAGAAAAGGAAGATATTTCTTAGCTAACATAACTCACAATTTAATTGTTTTCTTCTTAGACTCCTTGTGACCAAAAGCAGCAGGATAAAAGATTTACTCTACTGTATTTATGAAAGGAAAAAATGTTTGGAGAGAAAAATTATTTGGACTGAGGAGGAATTTTGTGCATATATTTTAGCCAATGATTATTTGGCTGGCTTATGAATCTGTAATGCTGAATATTGCCTGCATTCAGATACTCAAAAAGCAGAAATTAATAAAACCTGACAAATAAAAGCCACACGCGGGGAGAACAATATCATTACAATAACTTACATTTGCAAATACTACAGGCACTCCTCACCTTTCTTATTGTCCTAATTTAGTTGGCAATACAGAGTCAAAGGTGATGTCCGGACTTAAGAGCCCAACAGCTCTGGGAATAGGGAAAAATCTGATTTTAATCAACAGCAAAAGTTATGCAATACAAAGGGCTGTGATGTAGCACACTGCCCTAGATAAAACATTCCACTGCCCCAATTCCAAAAACCCTTTGGTGCTTTGTGCCTGTGGGAGGTGTCCATGAGGACCAAACACATGTCTGTGGGAACCCATCTCTAAGGGGACGAAGAAAATGGGAAAGGCGACCTTTGATTGCAATTTAAACATCTCAGTCCTGCTGTATTTCAATGGACTGCATCATCCTATTAGCTGGGAATTCCTAGTCATTTGGCTGTTTGGCAGCTCACCAAAATTTAGATCCACTCTGTATTCCAAAGCAGAGCTCAGGGCCAGAAGTCTGACACTTCCCAGGCATATATGAGTAGGTTCACCTGCATCTGTGCCATGGTTCCTGTACATTTGTGCCATGCTGTCCTTGGGCTTTGCAAAAGGGAAGGTAAATATTTTGGTATTTATGTTTTAAAATATCAGGAAAAGGACTTTTTTGTTTACTGTTTTCTCTTTTACTTAGACTAGTGGAGGTGTAATTTAAGGAGCCATACTGGCATGCGTCATTGCAGTCTAGCAAACAAGGCTCTGGAGGTGCACTGCTGAATATGCTCAATGCAAAAATGAAATTGAAAAGTCAGGCTTTGGCTAACTGTGTGCTCCCTTTGAAGAAAGAATTGTGATTGTTGGCAGAGGAAGTAAGGAACTGGGACAAAACAAGGAAAGGAAGAAGTTGTTTCTTTCTCTCCATCAGTCAGCTCCTTAATTTTTGCTGCCAATATTGTAAGTCAGATTTACAAGTTAAACATAAATCTATTTATATATTATTTCAAATTAAATTACAGAAAATCATATTGCTTGTGTGTTGAAATCTTTGACTATTGAGAGAAGGGAAATGAGGCAAATAAACATATGAAGCAAAGGTCATTTTGCTGTCAACAGAAAATAGCCCCAGTCAGAAAGAAAAAAAATTCCATTCGCATTTAATATATTTTCAACTCAGTACGTATTTCATTCCTTTGTAATGTCATTTCTTATTACAGAGATATAGGAAGAGATCTAAAATACCTAGGTCTACAACTTTGGTGTTTCAATCTCTAAATAATTAAACATACCAAAAATATATCCTTGATAATGAAGAATGAAGGAAACCTCCCTGTAGTCCTTCTTCAACAATAGATTTTGGATATAACTTGGACCATAAGATGTAATAATAAAGAATTATTCTGAGAAATGTGTTAATTTCCCCAATTACTTAAACATCTCTTAAGACTCTTCATGATAGTAAAGGAGTGATGTTATGAACTGAGTTGTTTAGGATCTTTTCTGCAGCATCTCTTACCCTCCCAATAACTATAAGCAAATTTTCAATTTTATCAGAATAATTTTCTAATGTCCAGCTGAAAAATATACATACTTTTTTAATAATGAAAGAGAAATTACACAGGGACACCACAAAATGTAGCCAACAAATTATAACTTGTTTCAAAAATTACTTTGGCAAGTTTCTCATAGGAAATAAGGGAAAAAAAAAGTGTGCAAGCACTAAAAAAAATTGCATTACTTTTATGTTGTCACATTATAGTTACAGTTCTCACCTCAAAGAAAAACAAGAATTCAGACTTTTGTATAAACAGTCTCTAAAGCAATGGAGGCCTCTGAGATTTCCAAGAATCACTTTCAAACTGAAAGTGGAAAGAATCCACTTCTGCAAAATCTGTCCTTCCTGCAGTAAAACTGCTAAAACAGAACCTTGACAAAAGGGACACAGTGCAGGAACACAGCTAAGAAACCTGTAGCAAATTTAGGTAGAGGTACAAGATAAGAATTCTATTTGACTCCATTTCACTGATGTAATATCTTTCATTTATTGAAAGAACAATACCTTTATGCATTATGTAAAAATTCAACCTTTCTTCTTTTTATTACATACTTATGGTACTGATTCTAAAAAAAATCTTTTCCCTGCCACTAAAGAACACAGGTGGAGTAGTGGGCCCATGCCTAGAAATATATTATGAAAAATCTGTGAAAATAAAGAGTGAACATCAGAAAATTAAATAACATTTCAAAGAAAATAAAAATTAGGCAGCCAGACTTTGTCTTTAAAATTTTTGAGTTTTGTTAGATTATATCCCAAGAAAATCACATGATAAACCAGATTTCTGAGCAAGCTGTAGTTTTAATATTTAGGCTAAAAAATATATGTGACTATAAATGTAGTTCAAAACCTCACTTGAAATAGTATCACCATAAACATCAGGGTGACCCATTCTCATAACCAACATGCAAGTAGGAAAGAAATCACGTCAGTCACTGATATCTTTATTTCAGTTGCAAAATACCCTCAGCTACAACTTCTTTGAAAGGGCACTGAAGGTACTGAGTCCTGCCCAGAAATTAGTCCTTATCCAGGACTAAAAAAGAGTGCTGCAAACATCCAAAGAGGCTTTTCTGCAGTTTGACCCAATTTCCTAATGACAGTCAGCTTTATTCTAAAACTCTGGAAATGACTGTGATCATCAACAAATAAGACACTGGGATTTTACTTGGTGTGAGTTTCTGCGGGGTGAAAAGCCTTGCAGGATCTTCCAATGGAAGATTAAAGTCAGTGGATATTTATTGCAGAATTTTTCCTCAGTATGATAACTGAATTTACTTGGTTGGAGAAGCTGTGAGGCTGCTTCAGTAAGTGGTGCTAAGCATGATCCTGAAGCAAGAACAAGCACTTATACTTCCATGGTGTTTCTTTCTTGATCCAAATAGAGGACAGTAATCTCACAAAGCAGAAAAGGAGTAAGTCAGTATTTGATTTAGGGTCTCTCTGGAAAAAGGTCATCTTACTGTGGGATCTGAGATTTAACCAAGGAGTATTTAATTTTTGGTGGGAAAGAAACAGCCTTCCACTTCCCCAATGCATAAAGAACCTAGCTGAAAAATCCAGTTCCTTGAAGTATTCAAGGGTGTCAAATCTATAATGAAAATATTAAGTGTTTTCTCTGATCCTTTTTGGGCAAGTGTCTCCTGTGAAGACAGTGTCTGGCATGCCTTTAAAACTGTATATCTCAATAGCCAAAGAAAATAGGGAAGGCAGCAATATCCGAGAAACTTCCTACTCCTTTTCACATGGTGGGACCTAGAATCCCACAGGATCAGGGAGTCTCTGAGAAAAGCACTGTGTGGTGGAGAAAACATGTTTATGTTTTTGACATTTTCTTAAAAAAAAGTTACAATTTTTTATTATTACTTGGGGCCATTAAATTTGAAATAATTCACTTTTAGACAACAGTGTTTCCTAGCTGATGTGTATCCACCAGGAAAGTGTCCTGCCTTTGTATGTTTTCTTCGATTGGCGCTATCAAATGGAAAACTTTTGCCTTGATACAGTCTGAGGACTGAGTATCTGATAGGAAAAGATTTTGGAGCCAACATCCAAGTCTTAATGGCTCTACCAGAGTTGATATTTGACTAAATACGTAAAACGTAAATCCCTGTTTGGAAGAAAAAGCCTTTATCAGGAATCAGAACTTGTAATGCTTGTTGTATGTCTTTTTCTTTCCATCCCAAATCCAGATTTGCATTTTACCCTAAATCTGGCCAGTGTCTGGAAGTGTCTGAATGCTCTTGTCTCTTGTTCCTGAAAACATATTTGTTCAAGGGTGATTTAAACCCTTCCTTTTTAGTTACATGAAGTTTCATGAGAAACCTTCTGCTGCTATACACAGACCTATTAGGGAAAGTGAAAATTGAACAAATGCTCTTGATGTGTAAGTCATTGAGAGCATATTTCTTTTTTTAACCTTTTAATAGGAGGAAAACCTAAGACATCAGTCACAGGACATGACATTTTAGTTTTTCCAAGTATTTGTCATTTACTGAATATGCATTTAGGTCCTGTCAGGGTCAGAGTCCTGATGAACTTTCAGTGAAACTCTTGATGGCAGCTGAGAACAAAGCCATGGGTGGGCTGGTAAATCCCTGTCTGGGGCACTGACTGTGACCAAGAAAAAGGGAATTACAAGGAGCATATGGAATCACTGTAGTGTATCTAGCAGGGCCTGTGCTTCCACACACTGTTCTTACTCTAGAAGCAGTACAGCAGCATATTAGGGACATTTGCTGAAATGAATATCCACACCTCCATCAACAGGGTCCTGACTTTGAAAAATCACTATTAGTCTATCTTTGCTTTATTTCTGTAAGCTATGGACAAGCTCAGTGCTGTGATGTTGCCTCTGGATTCTCTTACCACTGCCAATAACCGAGGCATTAAACCCCACTGCTGTGTGTTCTGCAGGGGGCAGTCTGAGCAAAGCTTTTATTTTCTTTTCTAGTACAGAAAGCTGGGAAAAGCTGTTTTGCCAAACCAACATGTAGAACATTAATGATCAATGTCCAAAATGTTTTCAGTGCTGGTTAGCTAAAATTATTTTAAAATTTGTCTAGCAGAGTATTCAGAATGAGTCATGTAGAAATGAGTATTTATGTTCCCTCTGACCTCAAACATTCGTGGCCTTGTACAAGGTCACATAAGGAGACTGTGGAAAGCTTCCAC